CTTGGATACGTACATTATTCTAAGGTAAACAACCTCACGTTGGCCCATGACTATAACTTGGATACGTACATTATTCTGAGGTAAACAACCTCAGGTTGGGCCATGACTATAACTTGGATACGTACATTATTCGAAAAGAACAACTCCTGCCCATGAGTCCGAGCCATAATATTCAGGGCAACTTTTATCACCAATATTAGTGAATTCAAACATTTCCAAACAAATCATTTCGGTAACTCATGCACCAGACTGACAGAATGGGACCAGAGGATGTATACCAGTTATAATCGACAGTATTTCAACCATATGGACAATAATGTACATAACTTGCCGTCACGAATAACAGTAAAATGTTGACATATATTTGTAATAGTGACAAAGCAAATAACAAAGCCTAACCAAACTAAATACTAAAACATTTGAATCAAGACATACCTCTGTTTTGCTTTGTACTTTTAACCAAAACTGGACAATAGGTGAAATTAAGGCTGACTAGGAGTTTGGCGCCATGACACTCAGGTACCAGTCTCACGTCCTCCACCGACACAGGGGTGCAACCACGACAAGCATTGCTGCCCAAAACGGCCGCCCCTTAAGACCAGCAGTGAGGTGCTAGGAACACAGGCAAAGTTATACTACACCAAATCATATTCCGTAGTTTAATACGGTTTGGTTTGGTTTGGTTTGTTGTTTAACGTCCAGCTATATGGTGGCGGTCTGTATATTATCGAGTCTGGACCAGACAATCCAGTGAAGACCATTTCTAACCCGGATCTTAATGGGTGAAGTTTTATAAGAACTTTAGTGTAGGCAGAATCATCTAACAGCTTTGATTGATGGTTTTATGTAGGATATTTGTATTTTTTAAATGTAAATCCATCCAGTAATTAGAACGGACCATATTTTTTCAATATCATGTACTGTGGTTTTTAACACAATGAATTATGCTGAATATGTGCAGAGATCTATTCAAGTAGGTGACATTTGGTGCGGAACTGGGGCTGGTGTGTTCAATTTAATGTACTCAGAAAAGTAATTGGTTAACCAAACCAAAATGTGTGTGTTTTATCGCAGCTTAAGGCCATACTGTGCATATATATTATTATACATTTAATGGCTTTTAACGGCCTGGTTTTTGCTTAAGGCAATATAACGTGCATATGCCATACTGTGCATATATAATATTATACATTTAATGGCTTTTAACGGCCTGGTTTTCGTTTAAGGCAATATAACGTGCATATGCCATACTGTGCATATATAATATTGGTCATTTAATGGCTGTTAACGGACTGGTTTTCGTTTAAGGCAATATAACGTTAATGTGGAAGTCTATGGGAAAACATCTGGTTTTGTGTAACATCAACCTAAAGTCCCCTCAGGGCTGCAAGGTGCAAGGTCAATCTGCACGACTTCAGACAATCTGCACGACTTCACACTGCACGACTCTCCTGACACAATCTGCACGACTCTCTGCAATTACTGCACGACTGCACGACTTCACTTGACACAATCTGCACGACGACTTCACACAATCTGCACGACTTGACACAATCTGTTCTGCACGACTTGACACAATCTGTACGACTGCAATCTGCATCGACTTGACACAATCTGCACGACTTGACACCCGTACGATACCATCTCACAATCTGCACGACTTGACGACTTCACAATCTGCACGACTTGACACAATCTGCAATGACTTGACACAATCTGCACGACTTGACACAATCTGCACGACTTCACACAATCTGCACGACTTTCTGCACGACTTCACAACGACTTCACACAATCTGCACGACTTGACACACTTTGCGCGACGTCACACAATCTGCACGACTTCACACAATCTGCACGTACTTGACTTGGACACAATCTGCACGACTTGACACAATCTCTGCACGACTTCTGCACGACTTCACACAATCTTCACACGACTTGACACAATCTGCACGACTTCACACAATCTGCACGACTCTGACACGACTTGACACAATCTGCACGACTTCACAATTCACACAATCTGACTCTGCACGACTTCAACACGACTCTGCACACACTCTGCAATCGACTTTCTGCACACAATCTGCACACAATCTGACTTGACACACAATCTGCACGCACGACTTCTGTACTTGACACAATCTTCACACACACTCACATCAACAAGGAAGGTATGCCCTCTGCACAGATACTCTGCACTTGACACAATCACACGACTTGACTCTGCACACAATCTGCACGACTTGACAAAATCTGCACGACTTCACACAATCTGCACGACTTCACACACTCTGCACTACTTCACACACTCTGCACGACTTGACAAAATCTGCACGACTTGACACAATCTGCACGACTTCACACACTCTGCACGACTTGACACACTCTGCACGACTTGACACAATCTGCACGACTTCACACATCCTGCACGACTTGACACAATCTGCACGACTTCAATGCGAGGAAACGCCCTGGCACTCTGTGTCTACCATCAACAAGGAAGGTATGCCCTGCACAGATACGCCTTGCCGTTTCCGTTCTATTACGGGTTAGATGCTCTTAGTTGATAACTTTCTCCGACAAATATGTGTGCATAAACATATTTTTCCACAGACACCACTGACTTCAAAACACTGACTTTATATGTTTCATTAGTGCAAATGTACATTATGTTTAGTACTATCTTGAACAATGTGCACCAACCAGCTGTTTCAACTCGTTACCTGGGGAGGTATTTACATAAGGAAGTTTTGCTTTTCTTACCAATCCAGATTTCTTTGGAAATAAAATATGTTTAAACCATAATGTATGCACACGATACACACGCACGCACACACGCATACGCACACACACACACACACACACACACACACACACACACACACACACACACACACACACACACACACACACACACACACACACATATATATGTATGTGTGTGTCTTTAATATAAAGTAAACTTCGTTTAAATCGAATACGGTTTTAACGAGCGAAATACCGGATGTAACGAACTGTTCTTTTGGTCCTGATTTACTTGCTGTGTACTTTAGATATTCTAGTCTAAATATGACGAACAAAACGTATAACCAAGGGACCGTACATTATTTATGGCTAGGGGGTGATGTTGATTTTCTTGGAGAAGTATGTACAAAGTGAATGACCCCCCCCCCCCCCCGCTTATATTTATGCCATTAGTTATGAACGGTCCCTAAAGTAAGTTAGTCCCTTCGTGTTCGTTATAACCGTACTTTACATTTTATTTAATAAAGAAACACACAAAGAACACGCTTAACTAATGGAGAAATTGTCGATCCTCAGTTAAAGATAGAACCTCAGAAGAAACGCTGCTTCATCTAAAGATAAAGCTGAGCATATAGCTATACATGTCGTACTGTAATGTGTTCGCAGCGCGCGAAATAGCCACTGGCCCGCTAGCTCGTGGCTAGTAAAAATACACTCGGGACAGTAAATCTCTAGAGTCACTGGCCCGACCGGCTAGTGAATTTTCATGGGGTCGTTTCTACATTCAAATTTAGGGCTAGTGGATTATTTGTGGGCTAGTACTTTTCAGGCGTAGCTAGCCCGACTGACTAGCACAATTTGGAAACTATTTCGTACACTGATTTTATCCCCAATAACTAAGGGCATTATTTCCTTATTAAAATATAGGGCCTACATATTCTGATCAGGACCCACAACTTTTTATGGTTTTGGGTCCTTAGCACCTGCAGCTTTTACGGGTTAAGGGCAAACACTGCGGAACTTGACGAGTTTAAACATACAACCATGCTTTTACCGTTACAAGACAACCACCATTGTCGACCCATCTAATTAAATACTACGCTTTACACCATGTGTGAATATTTTTACGTGACTTTGTAATTCATAGTAATTGTACTACATTTTTCCTGATAAGTTTGGGGGCGGTTGGGGTAGCCTAGTGGTTCGCTCGTGATGCCGAAGTCCCGGGTTCGATTCCACACATGGGTACAATGTGTGAAGACCATTCTGGTGCCCTCCGCCGCAATATTGCTGGAATATTGCTAAAAGCGGCGTAAAACAATACTCACTCACTCATATCGACTCATATCGACAAGCAAAGACAAACCAATGTCGTCGAATGCTTGACATATGTTCCTGTAAAATGTCCGCTTTAGATGTTTTCTCTGTTAATGAGATCTACAGTCCGTTTCATTTGAGACCGATGAATTGCTCACCAACACAAAATCTAATATAATTGCAACAAAACGGACGGGGGATCACTTGCTGGTAGAACAGCTACGTGTGCGAGTTGCATGTGTGAAATTGAAATTTTACTACACACGCTTGTTGATTACCTGGCTGTTCTACCAGCAAGTGGTCCCCCCTCATAAAAAGGTGACAACAAAATAATGCTATTGTTAGACACTTGTTTTATTATGGTGTACAAAAATTATGAGACAAATTATCAGAGTTGGTATGTCGATTTCATGTGACTGTGCAAACTTTGGTTTTCTAGCAATTATCATATTTCGTGTTATTGGGCAATCCATCGGTCTCAAATGAGTGAGTGAGTTTAGTTTTATGCCGCACTCAGCAATATTCCAGCTATATGGCGGCGGTCTGTAAATAATCGAGTCTGGACCAGACAATCCAGTAATCAACTGCATGAGCATCGATCTGTGCACCGATGACATGTGTCAACCCAGTCAGCGAGCCTGACCACCCGATCCCGTTAGTCGCCTCTTACGACAAGCATGGGTTACTGCAGGTTCATTCTAACCCGGACCTTCACAGGTCCCATGCTTGTAAGACGCGACTAACGGGATCGGGTGGTCAGGCTCGCTGACTTGGTTGACAAATGTCATCGTATCACACTTACGTAGATTGATGCTCATGTTGTTGATCATAGGATTGTTTGGTCCAGACTTGATTATTTCAATCTTTATTCCGGTACTAAAAAGGACTCAGGCCTATAGTACACCATATACATTGCTTTATACACGTTGAAGGAACAATACGTTTTCTATGTACAAATGAGTAGAAAATATACATGGACAGGTTCTCAATTTCTTTAGGATTTGAACTGTTTAGCAGTAGTGAAAACTTAAGCCTGTTTGGATGGACATAATATTTTTCTCTTATACATTTGCTTCGAAGACTACAGTAGCTAGGGCATACAAGAAGAAAATGATACTCGTCTTCAATTGCATTTGTATTACATAACTTACAAGTTCTATGTTCTCTATCCATATTTACATATCTACCTTTCTCTATTAGAAGTTCATGAGATCAGCATCGGAATCGGGCTAAACTTACTCTATACTTTTTTACATTTAAACATGATAGATAGAATTCGGTATGGATACTGTTTTTAAACATTAGGTAAGTTTCACGTTTGCTTATTTCTTGCCAGTTTTGAAAATACATATATTTTAGTCTTTGAGCAAATGATTTGATGAATTCCGGATATATTCCATTTTTTTGGTTATGCCAAATATCTCCGAATCCAGTAGACAATAATGATTGCTTTATCTCAGTCACCCAGTTTTTGTGTCCATTTCTATCATATAAAAGCATGATTTGATAACTTGATTATTTTCAGACTGCCACCATATAGCTGAGTGCGGCCTTACACAACCAACCAACCAAGTTATCCAACAAGAGCCACGCGGGATGACCTTGAACATAGTACGCCAAGGTAGCAACGTTTCCTGCTGCTATGGTCTGAACATCTCCTTATCTTCCATAATCATAATCGAAGGGCGTTACTTGATTTCAGAACCTCAAACCATTATCTACCAATTGAAACAGGACGATGGATCAAAACTCCCCCAAATGAAAGAATATGTACTCTCTGTAAGGCAAACGATGTTGGAGACGAATTTCACTTTTTGTTTATTTGCCCTACTGTGGCTCAAGAAAGGAAAAAATTAACATCTGTTTCTGTAGAAATCCGAATATTCACAAAATGAATCCCTCTAACAAACTAGGAACAATTAGGAAATTAGCAATATTTTGCAAAAAAATAATGTCTCGCTTCAAGCAACGCCCCTACAAAAATAATCAATAACGGACGAGTGTAACATTGTTTATTTAACTGGTTAAAGATATGTACAGACAGTTTATTATTGCAACCATGTTAATATGACCACTTTATGTATCATACCTTTATTTAAGCTGTACATTATGATGTAAACTTGTACCTCTAATGCCGCAGAACGCGGCCGGAGTATAAATAAAGTTCAATTCAGTCAGCTGAACTCTTTCGAACAATACGACGCACAGTTATTATAAAATATCAATTTCTATTGAGTTTGTAAGTGAATTGTCATCCAGGCGTTGTTGCCAATATAACTGCAGATTGAAACTCATTTAGATATCAGAGGTAGGATCATTTATATCTGTTTAAAATACATAAAGATTCAATGAGGTTAATAACATGAAAGGCATTCAACATTCAATGTCCCAATTCAGAGAGGTTTAGGACAATTTGCAGATTTTACGTTCGCTTTAGTCGTAACCTCTGCATCTGGTGTAAACAGTGAAAGCTTTAACCACTAGGCTACCTGATAGCAAAAGCAGGCTCCAGATAGTATAACGCGGTTGACATCCCATTCATATATAAATGATTAGTGAGTGTGTGAGTTTAGTTTTACGTCACTTTTAGCAACATTCCAGCAATATCACGGCGGGGGACACCAGAATCGGTCTTCACACATTGTACTCATGTGGGGAATCGAACCCGCGTCATCGGTGTGACAAGCGAACGCTTTAACCACTAGGCTACCCCACCACCCTAAAAAATGATTAAATGATGACATTATATTTACATGTTATATATATTTCAATCTAAAAATCGTACGTAAAAATCGTTTTATTTCATCATGCACCACTTTGCGAAATGATGTAACAGTTGTTTCCTTTGTAATATATCGCAATATATATTTGACGAAATATTTATCCGGCGGACCAGTTTAACTGGTATATATAAAGATATTTTGGACAAAATATTTCTATTTCTATTTGTCCTTGATTACAGCGTAAGTTCGCTATCGGTTAGGTAAACTCAGTCGATATAACAGTACGTACTCCTCCTTCTTATAGAATAGGGGTGGGGTAGCCTAATGGTTAAACCATACGCTCGTCACGCTGAAGATACCGGTTCGATTCCCAACATGGGTACAATGTGTGAAGCAATTGCTGGTGTCCCCGGCCGTGATATTGCTGGGATATAACGAAAAACGGCGTAAAACCACACTCATTCACTCTTTATAGAATAAGGTAAGTACGCTATCTGAAGGTACAGGTACTGCCACCTTTATCACGCAAGTTATATTTCCTGAACTGTCGCCTCGGATGCAATAAAGAAGTTATTTAGCTATAAGAACTTATCCTTGCCTTCGGCTGTAACTAATGGAAACCAAGTCCTTGAAAGCATTTAGAAGTTGGCAGAGCATGGATACATGACACTTTTTATGGATAAGAATTTATTCTTTATCATGACGTTCCAGAGTGAGTGAGGTTTTACGCCGCATTTAGCAACATACCAGCAATAGCACTGGGACACCAGAGTTAATTCATTCTCCTTCATCTGATGAATAAAATAGCTCTATTGAATATCAAGTTGTTATCAATAAAAAGTGTCGTGTATTAGTATGGAAACCAGTCTCTGGGTTATTGATATATTGACTTTATGCTGAGACGTATCTATTCTTGCATCTGTTTCCTCCAGTTGGCTATAGCTCGTTTTACCATCTCCTCTTCAAACTGAGGGAAATGTTTCAAGTACGTTTTCAAAATAGTCTCGTCATCCGCAAGTGGGCATTTCACAAGGTCACCAGACTCGTTTTCACACAGCATGTTGCTATGGAGGATTATCAATGCTTTGCCATTGGGATACATCACCGCTCTCAGGCTTCTCTGAAAGAGCATTCCTTCTAATGATGCATACTGGTGATGGTAACACTTCTGAAACTCGTCAAACCGTCTGGCGTTTTCTGTTCGAAACTCATACGCTCCTCGCCATGGTCCGATACAAACCTCCCAAGGCTTTGGGTCTCTGGTTAGCCGAATGTCGCCCTTTCCATTGGCCCTTATGATCTTCCCGTCTTGCTTAAAGAACTTATACTCAAGGTATGAGTGTTTAAAAAGCGGAGATTCGGTTTCGAAATCCAATGAAACAGCCTCAAACGACGGCTCGCCGAAGCCAACGTCGACCAGGAACATGTCTCCTTCCGTTACCAAATTGTGGACAAATACTATTATATGGTTGTCACGGCGTTCATCTACCTCAACGAACACGAAAGCGTGGCCAAGGGTGACATCATAACCGAGACCTTCCAGCAAGAAGAACATGAAACTGTTGAGGGAATGGCACACGCCGCCATGTTGTTTAAACATGGCCTCCACGATCTCCGACATGGTGGGCACGTGACGTCTCGCGAGATCTTCAGCTATGAGTGTGACGGACTGGAACGGAAGTTTCTTCATAAACTCCCTGATGATGCAGTTGAGGAATGGTAGGTCGCATCTTGGCCGACCATCCGCTTTATCACAAGGAACACTGATGCCCAAAATGTCTTGGAGGAACAATACCGCTCTGGTCCTGGTTAATGCTGCCATAGCTGGAATGAGGACATCAGATGTGAACTGGTAAGGTACATAATGAGCGAGTGAGTGAGTGAGTATTTTTAGTCACATCAGCATTATATCAGCCATATCGTGACTAACACAAGTTCTACATTCATCCCGCATACACCCGTTGACGAAAGACAATTCCAACTAGAATACCACAGACATAGATGTAAAACTAGCATGCAAGTCCAAAACTCTACAGTACAATATATAACAGGCTACAGGTCGCCATCAACTGAAGTTATATCACCATACTAAGGGCCATGGGCATTAACAGTACCTTTGCATGAATTGCTGGGGTGACCATTATCTTGCTGTTTGGTTGTGGGGTGAGGCGAGGTGAAATGGGGTCTAACGTCGCACTTAATATAACGACCAGTCCTTGTCGTACCCATTAATGCCGAGCTCCAGGCAGACTACTATATTTCAACGTCTTTTGGTATGACGCGGCCGGGGATCGAACCCACGACTCTCCGGGCGCTCTAACCACTACACCACGGAGGCGGTCATGTTTGGTTGTGCCAGGCCACTAGATGTAAAACACGTACCCGAAAGCACAGGCCCTCGTGTCTTTGCGATGATTAAAAATTTAAAAAAAATGATATAAAAATTTGAGATGACCCTCGACTCGAAATGCTTCACATGTTTACATTAAGTTTTAATTGATCGCATGTGATGGTAGCAAAGCGATCGGCAAAGCAGGCGGGTGGGGTGCACCGAAATGTCCTGCCTTGTCATGATGAATTGTACTGATAAGCTTTTTGAGTCGGGGGTCATCTCAAAAACAATATATTTTCATCTTTAATCCTAGCAAAGACACGAGGGTCTCTGCCCGAACGCCACAGGTGCATGTGCACTACGTCAAGGCTTACATGCACAAACATGACCCACTTTTATTACTCCGTGGCGCAGTGGAAGATATTCTGCACCCGGTCTTTCCAGTTGAAAGGCCTCCACATTTCAGGTCATTCATGGTCGTTGAGGTCAAGAGAAATATCTCATGATTGCATCTGTCATTCACATAATATCAAATGTACGTTACCTTTGTACGCATAACGTCAGTCGTTGACTACAAGGCGTTGACAGTAACCCACACAGACACCCTCCGACTGCTACCGAGCGGTTGCCTCTAATGTTTCACTGGCCAGTGTGTACCTAGTGCATGCTATGTAGGTCACGAAAGCGGGTCAGATGTTTTTGTTATCTGAATACTTCACAAAAAAAACACTACCTCGTGCCTTGTGTTGTTAAGCAATGAAGGTGAATTTATGCTCAGTCATCGCAACCTTTATGGGACTTCACAGACGCGCCCCTGTTAAAAGGATACTGATCTAGAGGACCCATGACGATCCGGGTTCGAATTGATCTTCAGTAACCCATGCTTGAGACTAACGGGATCGGGTGGTCAGGCTTGCTGACTTGGTTGACACATGTCATCTTATTCCAATTGCGTAGATCTATGCTCATGCTGTTGATCACTGGACTGTCTGGTCCAGACTCGATTATTTACAGACTGCCGCCATATAGCTGGAATATTTCTGAGTGCGGCGTTAAACAACAAACAAATAAAACAAACTGATCTCGAACCTTGCCCGTGGATTGGCAGGTGCTTTGTTGTTTTTAACCACATAGGTACTAGGATGATATCCAATATTGCTAAACTGGTTCGCAGTCTCTTCTGCGCAATATCGTAAGCGTCATTTTATATTATACATGCGTATCTCCCCACTAATCAACAAAGACGAAATACAGTTTAGTCTTAAAATTAATTAGGAAATGTAATTTTTGTGACCATATATTTCAGTTCTTTATAATTGGTTCCAACATATAACCATCCAGTTTATTATGATATAACATTATTATTCCAAACATTTCAATTTCAAAGTTCAATTTCATCTCCCATTGACTGAAAGTTTTAGACTAATTATTGAAAGAAAATCAAATCAATGTTCTGCTCTATATTTATGACTATGCTAATTATTATTATAAATGATAATAGGATATTATGTTTTGTTCAAATTTTAAACGTCATACAAACTTTAAGTCGATCTGTTTTAGTGATTTTGCTAAATAACTGGTTATATCTAGGCATTATATAAATTGTCATCGTGAATCATATTTTACACAGATTTTTATTATATTCATAAACAAACTTACTCAAATGTTGGAGGAAGAGTGAGTGAGTGAGTTTAGTTTTACGCCGCACTCAGCAATATTCCAGCAATATTCGGTCTGTAAATAATTGCATGTGGACCAGCGGTCCAGGGATCAACTGCATGAGAATCGATCTGCGCTATTGGGAACTGATGACATGTGTCAAACAAGCCAGCGAGCCTGACCACCCGATCCCGTTAGTCGCCTCTTACGACAAGCATGGGTTACTGAAGATCCATTCTAACCCGGATCTTCATGGGTCCCATGCTTGTAAGACGCGACTAACGGGATCGGGTGGTCAGGCTCGCTGACTTGGTTGACAAATGTCATCGTGTATCACGCTTGTGAAGATCGATGCTCATGTTGTTGATCATTAGATTGTTTGGTCTGACTTCATTATTATTTCAATCTTTATTCCGGTACTGAAAAGGCCTCAGGCCTATAGTACACCATATACATTGCTTTATACACACCCGTGAAGATCCGGGGTAGAATAGGTCTTCAGCAACCCATGTGCTTGCCATAAAAAGGCGACTATCTTGTCGTAAGAGGCGACTAACGGGATCGGGTGGTCAGTTTCGCTGACTTGGTTGACACATGTCATCGGTTCCCAATTGCGCAGATCGATGCTCATGCTGTTGATCACTGGATTGTCTGGTCCAGACTCGATTATTTACAGACCGCCGCCATATAGCTGGAATATTGCTGAGTGCGGCGTAAAACTAAACTCACTCACTCACTCACTTTATACACGTTCAAGGAACAATACGTTTTCTATGTACAAATGAGTAGAAAATATACATGGACAGGTTTTCAATTTCTTAGGATTTGAACTGTTCAGCAGTAGTGAAAACTTAAGCCTGTTTGGATGGACATAATATTTTTCTCTTATATATTTGCTTCGAAGACTACTGAAGTTAGGGCATACAAGAAGAAAATGATACTCGTCTTCAATTGCATTTGTATATAATTTACAAGATCGGAATCGTGCTAAACTTACACTATACGTTTTTACATTTAAACATGATAGATAGAATTCGGTATGGATATTGTTTTTAAACATTAGGTAAGTATCACATTTGCTTGAAATAGATAATTTTTCTTGCCAGTTTTGAAAATACATATCTTTTAGTCTTTGAGTAAATGATTTGATGAATTCCGGATATATTCCATTTTCTTGGTTATGCCAAATATCTCCAAATCCAGTAGACAATAATAATTGCTTTATCTCAGTCACCCAGTTTTTGTGTCCATTTCTATCATATATAAGCATGATTTGATAACTTGATTATTTACAGACTGCCACCATATAGCTGAGTGCAGCCTTAAACAACCAACCAACCAAGTTATCCAACAAGAGCCAGGCGGGATGACCTTTAACATAGTACGCCAAGGTAGCAACGTTTCCTGCTGCTATGGTCTGAACACCATAATCATAATCGAAGGGCGTTACTTGATTTCAGAAACTCAAACCATTATCTACCAATTGAAACAGGAGGATGAATCAAAACTCCCCCAAATGAAAGAATATGTACTCTCTGAAAGGCAAACGATGTTGGAGACGAATTTCACTTTTTGTTTATTTGCCCTACTTTGGCCCAAGAAAGGGAAAAATTAACATCTATTTCTGTAGAAATCCGAATATTCGCAAAATGAATCCCTCTAACAAACTACGAACAATTAAGAAATTAGCAATTTTTTGCCAAAAAAGTATGTCTCGCTTCAAGCAACGCCCCCACAAAATAATCAATAACGGACGAGTGTAACATTGTTTATTTAACTGGTTAAATGTATGTACAGACAGTTTATTATTGCAACCAAACAATATGTAAATATGACCATTTTATGTATCATACATGTATTTAAGCTGTACATTATGATGTACACTTGTACCTCTAATGCCGCAGAATGCGGCCGGAGTATAAATAAAGTTCAGTTCAGTCAGCTGAACTCTTTCGAACAATACGACGCACAATTATTGTAAAATATCACCACCCTAAAAAATGATTAAATGATGATATTATATTTATATGTTATATATATTTCAATCCAAAAATCGTACGGAAAAATCGTTTTATTTCATCATGCACCACTTTTTGCGAAATGATGTGACAGTTGTTTCCTTTGTAATATATCGCAATATATATTTGACGAAATATTTATCCGGCGGAAGAGTTTAACTGGTATATATAAAGATATTTTGGACAAAATATTTCTATTTCTATTTTTCCTTGATTACAGCAGTAAGTTCGCTATCAGTAAATTCAGTCGATAGATCAGTACGTACTCCTCCTTCTTATAGAATAGGGGTGGGGTAGCCTAATGGTTAAACCGTACGCTCGTCACGCTGAAGATACGGGTTCGATTCCCAACATTGGTACAATGTGTGTGATGCAACTGCTGGTGTCCCCGGCCGTGATATTGCTGGGATAAAATTAAAACGGCGTAAAACCACACTCATTCACTCTTTATAGAATAAGGTAAGTATGCTATCTGAAGGTACAGGTACTGCCACCTTTATCACGCAAGTTACATTTCCTGAACTGTCGCCTCGGATACAATAAAAAAGTTCTTTAGCTATAAGAACTTGCCCTTGCCTTCGGCTGTAACTAATGGAAAACAAGTCCTTGAAAGCATTTAGAAGTTGGCAGAGCATGGATACATGACACTTTTTATGGATAATAATTTATTCTATATCATGACGTTCCAGAGTGAGTGAGGTTTTACGCCGCAATTAGCAACATTCCAGCAATAGCACTGGGACACCGGAGCTAATTCATTCTCCTTCATCTGATGAATAAAATAGCTCCATGGAATATAAAGTTGTTATCAATAAAAAGTGTCATGTATTCGTATTGATACCAGTCTCTGGGTTATTGATATATTGACTTAATGCTGAGACGTATCTATTCTTGCATCTGTTTCCTCCAGTTGGCTATAGCTCGTTTAACCATCTCCTCTTCAAACTGAGGGAAATGTTTCAAGTACGTTTTCAAAATAGTCTCGTCATCCGCAAGTGGGCATTTCACAAGGTCACCAGACTCGTTTTCGCACAGCATGTTGCTATGGAGGATTATCAATGCTTTGCCATTGGGATACATCACCGCTCTCAGGCTTCTCTGAAAGAGCATTCCTTCTAATGATGCATACTGGTGATGGTAACACTTCTGAAACTCGTCAAACCGTCTGGCGTTTTCTGTTCGAAACTCATACGCTCCTCGCCATGGTCCGATACAAACCTCCCAAGGCTTTGGGTCTCTGGTTAGCCGAATGTCGCCCTTTCCATTGGCCCTTATGATCTTCCCGTCTTGCTTAAAGAACTTATACTCAAGGTATGAGTGTTTAAAAAGCGGAGATTCAGTTTCGAAATCCAATGAAACAGCCTCAAACGACGGCTCGCCGAAGCCAACGTCGACCAGGAACATGTCTCCTTCCGTTACCAAATTGTGGACAAATACTATTATATGGTTGTCACGGCGTTCATCTACCTCAACGAACACGAAAGCGTGGCCAAGGGTGACATCATAACCGAGACCTTCCAGCAAGAAGAACATGAAACTGTTGAGGGAATGGCACACACCACCATGTTGTTTAAACATGGCCTCCACGATCTCCGACATGGTGGGCACGTGACGTCTCGCGAGATCTTCAGCTAAGAGTATGACGGACTGGAACGGAAGTTTCCTCATAAACTCCCTGATGATGCAGTTGAGGAATGGTAGGTCGCATCTTGGTCGACCATCCGCTTTATCACAAGGAACACTGATGCCCAAAATGTCTTGGAGGAACAATACCGCTCTGGTCCTAGTTAATGCTGCCATAGCTGGAATGAGGACAAAAGATGTGAACTGGTAAGGTACATAATGAGTGAGTGAGTGATTGAGTATTTTTAGTCACATCAGCATTATATCAGCCATATCGTGACTAATACAAGTTCTACATTCATCCCACATACACCCGTTGACGAAAGACAATAAACCAACTAGAATACCACAGACATAGATGTAAAACTAGCATGCAAGTCCAAAACTCTACAGTACAATATATAACAGGCTACAGCTCGCCATCAACTGAAGTTATATCGCCATACTAAGGGCCATGGGCATTAACAGTACCTTTGCATGAATTGCTGGGGTGACCATAATCTTGTTGTTTGGTTGTGGAGTGAGGCGAGGTGAAATGGGGTCTAACGTCGCACTTAATATACCGACCAGTCCTTGTCGTACCCATTAATGCCGAGCTCCAGGCAGACTACTACTAGTATATTTCAACGAATTTTGGTATGAAGGGGGATCGAAACCACAACTCTCTGGGCGCTCTAACCACTACACCACGGAGGCGGTCATGTTTGGTTCTGCCAGGCCACTAGATGTAAAACACGTACCCGAATGCACAGGCTCTCGTGTCTTTGCTATGATTAAAGATTTTTAAAAGTTTTGAGATGACCCCCGACTCGAAATGCTTCACAGTACAATACATCATGACAAGGCCGGACACTTCGGTGCACCCCACCCGCCTGCTTTGCCGATCGCTACGCTACCATCGCATGCGATGGTCTACAACTTAATGTAAACATAATGATGGATGATTGGCCTATCGATCACCACTTATGACACCTACCAATTCTTTATTATTATTTCTGCAAGTCGATTGAAACTCGATTTTGACTCTTAACTAAACGATCTTGACACAAATGGATGATATTATATATCCGCACAAAATGGGGTGTGGTCGAAGCAAGCCCTCTGGTTGGCTGATGCTTGTAAAGGAGACATTTACAACTGATGCTTTCTTTTGAGAAGCCATTGCTTGAAAAAAACATTTTTACATTTCCATGTCAAGCAGTCGATGAAAGTAAAAATTCCCGCGAATTTATAAAGACTAAAGATTTAAAAGCGTTGACCAATCAGAGGGCTTGCTTCGACCACACACCCCTTGTGTGCGGACATATCGTCATCCATTTGTGTAGGGATCGTTTAGTTAAGAGTCAAAATCGGATTTCAATCCACTTGCAGAAATAACAATAAAGAATGGTACTCGATAGGCCAGTCATCCTTCATTATGTTTACATTAAGTTTTAATTGATCGCATGTCATGGTAGCGAAGCGATGGGCAAAGCAGGCGGGTGGGGTGCACCGAAGTGTCCTGCCTTGTCATGATGTATTGTACTGTGAAGCTTTTTGAGTCGGGGGTTATCTCAAAAACAATATATTTTCATCTTTAATCCTAGCAAAGACACGAGGGCCTGTGCCCGAACGCCACAAGTGCATGTGCATTACGTCAATGCTTACATGCACAAACATGACCCACTTTTAATACTCCGCGGCGCAGTGGAGGATATTCTACGCCCGGTCTTTCCAGTTGAAAGGCCTCCATATTTCAGGTCATTCATGGTCGTTGAGGTCAAGAGAAATATCTCATGATTGCATCTGTCATTCACATAATATCAAATGTACGTTACCTTTGTACGCAGAAGGTCAGTTGTTGACTACAGGGCTTTGACAGTAACCGGCACAGACACCCTCCGACTGCTTCCGAGCGGTTGCCTCTAATGTTTCACGGGCCAGTGAATACCTAGTGCATGCTATGTAGGTCACGAAAGCGGGTCAGATGTTTTTGTTATCTGAATACTTCACAAAAAATACACTACCTCGTGCCTTGTGTTGTTAAGCAATGAAGGTGAAATTATACTCAGTCATCGCAACCTTTATGGGACTTAACAGACGCGCCCTGTTAAAAGGATACTGATCTAGAGGACCCATGACGATCCGGGTTCGAATTGATCTTTAGTAACCAATGCTTGAGACTAACGGGATCGGGTGGTCAGGCTTGCTGACTTGGTTGACACATGTCATCTTATTCCAATTGCGTAGATCAATGCTCATGCTGTTGATCACTGGACTGTCTGGTCCAGACTCGATTATTTACAGACCGCCGCCATATAGCTGGAATATTGTTGAGTGCGGCGTTAAACAACAAACAAATAAAACAAACTGATCTAGAACCTTGCCCGTGGATTAGCAGGTGCTTTGTTGTTTTTAACCATATAAATGATAATAGGTTTTTATGTTTTGTTCAAATTGTAAACGTCATACAAACTTTTAGTCGATCTGTTTTAGTGATTTTGCTAAATAACTGGTATATCTAGGCATTATATAAATTGTCATAGTGAATCATATTTTACACAGATTTTTATTATATTCATAAACAAACTTGCTCAAATGCTGGAGGAAGAGTGAGTGAGTGAGTGAGTTTAGTTTTACGCCGCACTCAGCAATATTCCAGCTTTATGGCGGCAGTCTTTAAATAATTGCATCTAGACCACACAATCCAGGGATCAACAGCATGAACATCGATGTACGCAATTGGGATACGATGACATGTGCCAACCCAGTCAGCGAGCTTGACCTCCGGATCCCGTTAGTCGCCTCTTACGACAAGTGTGGGTTACTGAAGATCCATTTTAACCCGAACCGTCACGGGTGTTGGAGGAAGAAGGTGGAAGGGGTGTCTTTATATCAACTCATACTCCTGATGTATTTTCTCTATTATTTGCTGATGATGTTACTGTATCAGACAGCTTAAATAAAATTCATATTGTTGAAACATTCTGTGCAGATACCGGAATGAAAGTCAATCTGACCAAAACCAAAATTATTGTTTTTAGAAATGGTGATCCTCTCCGTTCTTATGAGAAGTGGCTTTTGAACAAATACAATTTGTGAACATGAACAGATATCATGGGATTGTGTTCACTCCTAAACGGTCATGGACTAAAGCCCAGTCATCTCATTACAATATCACTATACCTCTAGAGCAGTAAAGTACTGGTACCGACTGATGCAACTTCAACACCATATACTTCCTTGTCAAGCCTACCGAATGCTCAAATCTCTTGATGATAAAAAGCTACCTGGGCATCACGCATAAGACTAATTCTTTTACAGTATGGGTTTGGACTTGTTTGGATCTCGCAAGAAATCGGCTGCATTTAAACATTTTATGCGATTTTATGACTGCTCCCTTCAATACTGGCGCTCCTCACTTGACTCTTCATCTAAACGTAAATATTATTCACAATTAAAATCTTTACTTAATGTTGACCACAACTTGACCTGTGACCTCCTACCATATCAGCAGAAAGTTTTAGTCATGTTCCGCTGTAACAACTTTAGACAAGCCGTGGAAACCGGTCGCCACACATATAATATACACCCTTTGATCAACGTCTCTACTGACGCTCTATTGGTCTAAGGTATGGCGAAGACGAGCCCCATGTCTTACTTATCTGTGGTACATATTCTGCAATAAGAAAGAAGTGTTTCACAACCCACCAGACCTACCCTCCAACAATCAAAACCTTGGTGCGTTTAATTACCTATAACAACATAAATTATATAAAATCATTAAGTACATTCCTCTCTGCTGTATTAAAACTAAGAAGTAAAACCACCATTACAATTAATTGGCCTTGTATTTCAGTCGTTATCCTACATCTAGCATATGTATATATATTATTTATACTTGCTTTTTGTTTGTGTTATGGGCCAGTGGCCTATATTACTAAATAAAATGCCTGTCTGTCTGTCTATTTTACACATACACTGCCAACAAAGAGACGACCTGTGTAAACAACGATATAGTGCTGTACGAGGTGAGGTGAGGTGAGGTGAAATTTGGTTTAACGTCGTGCTTGAGAAATTTCGCTCATATGACGACGTGCATGCGTGTGTATGTGTATGTGCGGCTGCTTGTACTAGCCCAGACGTAAGCTGGTTTTATAGTGCTAGATCACTGAGATACCATGCCGCAGTGAAGCATGAATACCCCACTCAGACACATTATACTGACTCCGAGCCGACCAGTCCTTGTTGTACCCATTAATGCCGAGCGCCAGGCAGGGACCAACAAGTACATTATTTTAACGTCTTTTGGTATGACGCGGTCGGGGATCGAACCCGCGACCTTCCGCTCTCCGGGCGGACGCTCTAACCACTACACCACGGATGCGGCCAGTGCTGTACGATAACGTAAAGGAGTTTGAATGTTTCTGTTTAATGCTACAACAATGAATGAATACAAAATGCAAATTTCCCAATTTATAGCCAAACAAAGTTTACAATATTAGGCAATTAGCTTGTTAGAGAATATATCCATCAATATTTGCATAAAGTAACAATACCACATATATCTACAGCTGACAACAAAACGTGTTCGTACCACGGGTCTTTTAACAGTCTAATATAGCCAAATATGTATTACATATAGTATGACCAGAAATTATTGAGAATTTTAGGAATATGTTTAAATTGGATTTCTAGTAAACTTCTGTTGCCTTGTCTTGTCACTTCCAAACTCGACTACTGTAATTCACTATATGCCAACCTCTCAAATAAATCATTCCAGAAACTTCAAAGAATCCAAAATTCTGCTGCCAGATGTATCACCCACACTCATCGTCATGACCATATCACCCCAGTACTACAGTCTCTACACTGGCTCCCCATCTCTGCAAGAGTTACCTTCAAAACCCTCATTCTGACTCATGACTGCCTCTACAATGATAACTTTCCTGACTATCTCAAACATCTCATGTCTGTGTATGTACCTCAGCGAAGTCTCCGATCCTCCTTCGGCTCTCTCCTAACCCAACACAGATCTCCAAACCAACTGTCTGACCGAGCCTTCACCTGTGCCAGCCCTAAACTGTGGAACTGTCTTCCAAAGGAAATCAGAAACACTGCATCGAAAGAAACTTTTAAATCTCTACTAAAGACCCATCTATTCACTGCTGCCTTTCTGTAAAGTTAAATGAACTATTTCCTTCCCCAATATTGTCACAGCGCCACTGAGCATCTCTATGGTGGATATTAGGCTCTTTCTAAATTCATTATTATTATTATTAGTAGTAGTAGTAGTATAAACAACCTTGACCAGCTATCAAGTGCTTGGTTTCATTCAAGTGAGACAACTCCGTTAATCCTTTTTCATTAGTTTGTGAAGAGTTATCCCCCTTTGTTTACTTGCTAGCAGACGGCATTTACAGTGATCCTCAGTATGGATGATTTAGAGAAGAGGAAGTTGATTTTAGCGTATTATAACAAGGACATCAGATCAGCTAAAGGGATTTCAAGTAGAACAGGCATCCCTTTGTCTACTGTTTATCGTGTTTTAAAAAATATTGCAAATTGATATGGCATTGAGCACCAGGGAGGCGCAGGTAGGCCCAGAAAATTGACTGTCGGTGACAGGAGGCAGCTTGGTATTCTTGTTTCTAACAACAAACGAAGGAGTTTAGAAAACTATAGGCTTGATATGATTGATAGAGGAACTGTGGCTTTCTGTAAGGAGATAATTAGAACTGAGCTGCATGCAATGGGTTGTCAGAAAAGTCGAGGAATTCCATCACCGATCATGAACCCTGGACAAAAGGACCGAAGGTTGAACTGGTGCTTACAGCATAGAAATTTTAACTGGGACAATGTGAGTTTCTCAGATGAAAGTTCTGTGTGGCTGTTTCCTAATACACTGAAATTCTGGACCAAACAAACTGAAAAACCTTTGTATCAGCGCCCAAAGTACAGTCCGAAATTTAACGTGTGGGGTGGCATATCTGTGTTAGAGGCAGCGCGCCTCTGTGTATTTGAAGGGAATATGAACAGTGAGCGGTACACAGATATTCTCGAGGGATATTTACTTCCATCTGCTCACGTGTTCTATGGACATTTTGGGTTTTTTCCAGCAGGATAACGACCCAAAACATCGTTCAAAGCATTCACAGGCCTGGTTTCGGACCCAAAATATGACATTATTAGATTGGCCAAGCTATAGCCCTGACCTAAATCCAATAGAAAATGTTTGGGGACTTATGAAGGAAAGTGTCAATAAGAAAAATCTGACAAATATTGCTGAAATGAAAGAAGAGGTGGTCCGATATCAGGTGATCTTTGATCAGTAGTATGCCCCGCCGCATTGAAGCCTGCATTGCTGCCCATGGTGACTTGACAAAATACTAACTCTTCACCTGTCTTTGAATCTGGAGTTATGTTCTGCTAATATTCACATTTAATACGTGAGTAATGAGTGAAAAAATAAAAAAAAATACAACCTTTAAATTCTCAAAATTTCTGGTTGTATATGACATATATATTCGTGATATTATAATGATATGTTATCAAAAGGTCAAATAACTTTGTTACACACTGGTGTAAAGTCTCACTGGTCAGGAGAAACAATACACACAACAATGAGCTTACAATCAACGCATTATCGTTTAATTATTTGACCAAAAGACGTTGGTTCGTCACTGTATGAAACGAGTGTATTCCGTGTGCCTAAGTAAACCTACATATACACAAAGAAGTTAATTAAGCACCACCTGTATTTTTGCAATGATAGGTTATCAACACGTACATAAAACTTCTCGTGTTAACCACGATGGAAAAACATGAGCTTTCTGATCCGAATGATCCTTTGACTCGTGCTAAACGACAAAATGAATGGAATCCATGTTGATTTTATGACGACAATTGCTCATTTTAATAGAAAAACCAATGATTTTCATACAAAACCATGTCTGAACATGTATGGCCCTGGAATGTTTACTGCTGAATCTATTGGTGAATCTGAACATTCAAAATGCCATTTTGCGTGTCTTACACGATTCAAGGACAATACCGAGTGTAACCTCCATGTGACTGTATGTCAGCCAGCACTCTCCTCCTCCTCAGCCACCTGATCCTCTGAAGGTGCAGTCTACGCCATTCCTCGTGTAAAGCAGCTTCCAATTGGGCCAGGTTCTGTACAGGAGGATCCCTTTGTTGCACACTACGACCAATCATGTCCCAGATATGCTCCAAAGGGTTAAGATCGGGGCTTTTGACAAATCCACTGTGCAAGATAACAGTGATTAATCAATCAACGCATTATTGGTTAATCCTTTGATCCATGTTTTTATTAGTCAGCTGCCAATTCCTCTCTTTTTCCTTCCACGTGCAACCCGTGAAGATCCGGATTAGAATTGATCGTCAGTAACCCATGCTTGTCGTAAGAGGCGACTCACGGGATCGGGTGGTCAGGCTCGCTGACTTGGTTCACACATGTCATCGTATGCTCATACTGTTACTGAGCGGTGGGGTAGCCTAGTGGTTAAAGCGTTGGCTCGTCACGCCGAAGACCCGGGTTTGATTCCCCACATGGGCACAATGTGTTAAGCCCATTTCTGGTGTCCCCCGCCGTGATATTGCTGAAATATTGCTAAAGGCGGCGTAAAACTAAACTCAGTCAGTCAGTCAGTCATACTGTTACTCACTGGATTGTCTGGTCCAGACATACCGCCATCATATAGCTGGTATATTCCTGAGTGCGGCGTTAAACAATAAATAAGCCAAACCAAGCTAATGTATCGTGTTTGCTTTAAATAATTACAAGGGAACCACACTGGCTTCAAAATTAGGTTGGTGGTGAAGTAGTCTGTGGTATTCCTTATGACACCAACATTTGTTTTACCCGTGAAGGTCCGGTTTAGAATGAACCTTCAGTAACCCATGCTTACCGTAAGAGGCGACTAACGGGATCGGGTGGTCAGGCTCGCTGACTGGGTTGACATATGTCATCGGTTCCCAATTGCGCAGATCGATGCTCATGCTGTTGATCCCTGGATTGTCTGGTCCAGATCCGATTATTTACAGACCGCCGCCCTATAGCTGGAATATTGCTGAGTGCGGCGTTAAACTCAACTCACTCACTCACTTTGGTTCGAATCCAGCACCATGAGCCTCATCCGTCCTAAACACCACACATTCCACAGTACACAGTATGAAGATATTACGTATCTCAATGAAATACTCAATAAAAGGCAATTATTTCAATTTCAAAAAACAATTCAAGTAATTATTACGTGATGTTCCGTTATAAAATCGGCTATAGATCGCCAGTAACTGAAGGTAGATCACCATACTAGGGACCATGGGGACTTATATTACTTTTGCTACCTGCATGGGCCCTAGCTGTATTTATACCATCCCTTCAGATGTTGGCGAATTTTGAGCATTTTAGCCATAAATTAAATCTACAAACATTCTACGATTAAAATTCTGGCAATATTTGATGTCACCTTGACATAACAATGCCCTACAAATCTTGTGAAAACTGTGGAGATTTTCTCAGATGCTTTTTATGTTTTCTATTTGAAGATCACAAAGTGTACCAAGAAGCATTCAGTTTTTACCATCGTTTGTTTGAATATTATAGCACTTGTTTCTAGATAGATGAAGTATTTACGATGTAAATATGTACAGTTGGAAGTTGTTCGTGATACCATACCATTCTAACACAAAAGTGCATGTATATCGTTCAAGGTCTGAAGATTAAGTGAGTCTAGTTTTACGCGGCTTATAGCAATATTCCAGCAATATCACGGCGGGGAAACACCAGAAATAGGCTTCACACATTGTACCCATGTGGGGAATCGAACCCGGGTCTTCGGCGTGACGGGCGAACGCGTTAGGGACCGTTCATAATTTATGGCTAAGGGGATGATGATGATTTTAATGGGGAAGGGGGGGGTCACCCATTCACCCATACACATGTACTGGGGGGTGTCAGCAATTTTGTACATATAAATATGTTTAAAATTATAGCTTAAAAGTTATGGGAAGGGAAGGGGGTCATTGGTTTTGTACATGACATGTCACTTATTTTGTACATACATTTTAGGGGGGGGGGGTCATTCACATTGTACATGCTTCTCCATAAAAATCATCATCACCCCCCTAGCCATAAATTATGAACGGTCCCTTATCCCACCGCCCCTCTGAAGAATTATGGTACCCGCCTGATGAACAATGGCCCGACTTTATAAACAGTTGTTCATAATGTTTCTTATTGTTAAAAAAGCACACAGTTGTTTCGAGAGCAATTGAATTTAAACATTTGTTTATTGAACCATTGAGGTAAATATCCACATTAACTCTTATATCACAACATCATTTTGAATTTCGAAAATGCATACTCTACTTTGGCCATATTGAGAGGCCTTATTCTCGTAATACTATGGATTCCGGCTAAGCCCATTGGCTGCGACCACAACAGCAACTGCAAGCGCTGGCAACAAAGACAGCAGCAGCTGCACGTTTGTGACGTCTGGAAGGAGCTGAAAATGATCAAATTAATTCCATAAAGTATAATGAAGCGTGGCATTTGTATTAGTGAGTGAGTGAGTTTAGTTTTACGCCGCACTCAGCAATTTTCCAGCTATATCCAGCGGCGGTCTGTAAATAATCGAGTCTGGACCAAACAATCCAGTGATCAACAGCATGAGCATCGATCTGCGCAATTGGGAACCGATGACATGTGTCAACCATGTCAGCGAGCCTGACCACCCGATCCCGTTAGTCGCCTCTTACGACTAACATGGGTTACTGAAGGCTCATTCTAACCCGGACCTTCACGGGTTTGTATTAGACAACACGAACAATTTACCGACAATCTGAAGATCAGATTAGAAGAACAGAGCGTTGGAAAGGCATCAGAATACTATTAAAGTAAAATTGACAAAATCAGTGGCACCACCCAACTATATTCCGCACTGACTCCAACGTACCTCAGTCGATTTATAAAGATGGGTAATTCATTCAAGCCTCAGATATTTCACTAATAAGTATTTAGACACTGTTTGTAGAGGAGCTGCCATTAAATAATAATGACTGGTTTAGAATAAATATAAAATACTAAACTTGCTTCTTCGATCGAACTTCACTCGGTCGGTGAGGTAGCCTAGTAGTTAAAGCGTTAGCTCGTTACGCCGAAGGCCCGGGTTCGATTCCCCACATGGGTACTATGTGTGCAGCCCATGTCTGGGGTCCCCCGCCGTGATATTGCAGGAGCATTGCTAAAAGCGGCGCAAAACCTCAGTCACTCACCAACCCACCCACATACTCACTCACTCACTCACCCACCCACTTATCCGTCATCATACAACGGTCTACATACATTTACAAACGCATTCCCTATACCGTAACTTGTGCAATACAGCACGGAGACAATACTTTGTGATAGGAGCCGAGCACCTGGGTTGAGTACCCATCGAATGTGCATCAGATCCAGTCAGATGTATCATCCAAACTCGCAGCAGCTAGCATTGAAGGGTCCAGTGATGTGATCGTGTCCGTTTTCAATAACAATTGTTTTATGAAACTGGCTTGGGCAGTACATAAGCAAGTGCGTTGGTATTAAAGATTGTGTTGTCCTAGCTAATTGTTATTAACTGATGTAACCGGAAATACACGTATTTACCGTAATGTGTAGCAGTAAACATATAATTGATGTTCTGAGTTTCCGAAAAAAAACACCCACATGGATTCAAGACAATACATACTTGTGAGGTCCACGGTTCCGGTGTGCACGAGACCGACGAAGTAGACTTTGTGGAAGCGGCAGAAGCAGTCGATCTCAGCTCCCAGGAGCTCCTCCACAGCCCACGACTCGATGGGGCAAACATTCTTCACGTTGATCCAGTCTTCGGAGAGTTTCCCTTTGGATGCGTCGTGCTTTAGAGGTAATAAACGAAACTAACATATTTCTAAATGTATCAGATCCAAAACAAGACAGCTATGAGGAAAACCTTTAGAAAAGTATTAATCTGATGTGGACAGCTAGTCTGCTGACCTGAAACAGCATCTACATATATACACAAAGAACCTAATTAAGCACCCATGTATTTTTGCGATGATAGGTTTTCAACACGTACATAAAACTTCTCGTGGTGACCACGATGGAAAGACATGAGTTTTTCTGATCCGTATGATCCTTTGACTCATAAACAACGACAATAGGATTGGAATCCATGTTGATTTTGTGAGGATAATTGTTCATTTTAAAAGAAAAACCAATGATTTTCATACAAAACCATGTCTGAACATGTATGGCCCTGGAATTTACTGGTGAATGTGAACATTCAAAATGCCATTTTGCGTGTCTTACACGATTCAAGGTCAATACCGAGTGTAACCTCCATGTGACTGTATAACAGCGAATACTCTCCTCCTCATACCCCTGTCAGCCTCCTGATCCTCTGAAGGTGCAGTCTACGCCATTCCTCGTGTAAAGCAGCTTCCGATTGGGCCAGGTTCTGTACAGGAGGATCCCATTGTTGCACACGACGACCAATCATGCCCCAGATATGCCCCAAAGGGTTAAGATGGGAGCTCATTCAATCGTGAGATATGTCAGGGGGTGCTTACATAACTTCTTTGTGTATATCTGTTAATCTTTTTGAAAGTACACATACCTGTTCAATACCGCCAATTTTCTCTTTCAAATCTTCAAAGGATTCTATGATATGTCTGACATAGCATTCTTTGTCCACGGAATTTCTCATGGCAACAAGTTGCTGAAATGAGATAACAAGTTTTGTGTTGCTGAAGAGGTATTTTCCTTTCCAAAATATTGAGGCAAGAAATGAACAGACAAGTTAGTGATGATAAGCAACCCACAATACAAGTAGGACCAATCTAACAAATTAGTTTTAGCTGACCTTAGTGCATATGTTACCAGGTACCAATCTTAATTCCAAAGGGGTAATTATGTTACAATAACGGATATTTTAATAGTTGCTCATTGCAATGAATGTTGGGGTGGAAAGCTTTTTCAGTTAAAGTTTTAAACTTAATTTATCAAGTTATGATAAAACAACACATACCCTGGAAAACACGTGGATGTTGCTTGTTTCTCTGAAAGTGGTTGGCGCATTGTCTGGTTTGTGGGAGTGAAGTTCAATGATGCCATCTCCGATTGCCACGTCCAGGAGCATTGTCTCATCCCCGTAGGTGGCGTTGATACTTCTCCACTACAAATATAAGAACTGTTGTTCAGCAACGCCTTCAGCAATATTCGAAAATGATATTACATACAATTAAAACACACACGAAAGTCATAAAATGTGCAACAAACAACATCGGAGATCTGCTTTCAAACTAGACTTCATACTTTCGGAATCATCTTCGCAGATATACTCATGCCAATAATGGTTGTCACCCCCTTCAATTTTATTAATAGGCTGGGAGGTGACAACCATTATTGGCATGAGTATAATTCTAATGTGTACCCGGCAGTGGATGGAGAGAATGTTGATTCCTTGTTTCTCTTGCTTCTGTTTGTGCAGAGCCTTCAACAAGTGAAAACTGTTATACACCGCCTTCGGCAATGTGACAGTTTGGTGTTTTTCATTCCACATTTGAGGTGTGGTGAAATTGGGTTTTACGTCGTGCTTGAGAAAATTTCGCTCATATGACGACGTGCATGCGTGTGTATGTGTATGTGCGGCTGCTTGTACTAGCCCAGACTGAAGCTGGTTTTATAGTGCTAGCCCACTGAGATACCACGCCGCAGTGAAGCCTGAATACCCCACTCAGACACAGTAAACTGACTCCGAGCCGACCAGTCCTTGTTGTACCCATTAATGCCGAACGCCAGACAGGGACCAACAAGAACCATATCTTAACGTCTTTTGGTATGACGCGGTCGGGGATCGAACCCGCGACCTTCCGCTCTCCGGGCGGACTCTCTAACCACTACACAACACGGAGGCAGGCATTCCACATTTGAAGCTAACGGTAGACAAGGACTCTGAGTCAATATACTAAGTGGGGTTTCCTTGATAAACGGCGACACGGATCTCAGTGACGTAGCACTATTTAGTGAGTGAGTGAGTTTGGTTTTATGCCGCTTTTAGCAATATTCCAGCAATATCACGGCAGGGGACACCAGAAATGGGCTTCACACATGCACCCATGTGGGGAATCGAACCATGATCGGGCGAAGGCTTTAACCACTAGGCTACATCACTTCCCCATCACTATTACGGTCACATTAGTTGCGGACAAAGGAAAAAACAAAACGTGTAACAAGGATAAACCCAGTTTTGTCGTCACCTCACATCTTGCCTACAATCCTAAAGGATTTACCACTGTACGTTTGTGTGCAATTCCACCATCTCAGCATGGTTTGGCATAAATGCAGTGCACTTACCTCATACGCTGGTGCCGCTGCTTTCGCTGGTGCCGCTACTGTCGCTGCTGTCGCTGCTGCAGCAGATGACAAGCCAAGACCAAGGCTCATCAGGAACATCGCCATTGTAGAGTGTTTAAACTGAAACATGAAATAAAAACAAATTACTAAATTGCGATCACGATATGGAGAGCGAGGGTGTGAGAACAACTCAGATATCTGACATCAGCCTGAAGGAAAAGAAGGTATCTTACCTTTGCTATTGTGAAGGCACCAATACTTGAATGTTGTTTCAGTGTCTGGCCGCCGTCTGTGACAAGTCGTGTTATTTACCGGTATTTATATCCGATCTGTTTGACACGTCATTCCTACAGAACAATCAAATATCCAATCACGTTTGATAATATGAGGACCAAGTGACTTGCATATGATGGTCACGCACCGAATCACAAGCTATCAGAAGAGCAAGCAATTGTCACATACGCCAGGTTCTCCGTCAGCCGTTTTACATGCTATTGTTGACGGTGAAAAGAGCAGAGTAATAGCGCGCTTTAACATATTTTCTGCTGCAAGATAAAGTGCACCAATAGACAATGCTTACGTTGTCTTCTTTTCATTTTGAGGACAGTTTCCCATTTTGATATTGCAGTGAGGCTCAGACGTCTGTATGGACACAACTGACGGGTCTTTATATGACTCTCAAATACGACACAAAGGAGAAGTTTCCTTGACTGTCGACAGGAGTCAATTAAGATGCAGGTTTACTGTTATAAGTGTAATATACTGTAGGTAACATTGTCATTTGATACAGGCACGATTAGGGTTTAAATACAAGCATCGTTTGACCAATGACTTACTTTTATATTTATCCAACGCATAATGATATAAAGCACTGTCCACGTATATGCGCTGTGTGTCAACTGTCCCTGCTTGCAATGGACGTAAAATGTGGTGCTGCTAGTAGGGATGTGTTAAAGTTGGAGACAATAGCTAAACAACTTTCTTTCAGGCTTTCCGTGAAACGTGAGTGAGTTAATGAGTCACTCCGCAATATTTCAGCCATATCGTGACGAGAATTTGAATATAAAGACTAAATACATTAGGAACAGGAAACCTCTCATCGATGGACAGTCGAAAAGAATCACCGCAGGTATACGTTAAAACTTATAATAATAATAATAATAAATATACATATATACAACGAGGGACTAGTAGCTAGTCATAATGCAGTGAAAACAGATGAGTCTTGAGAAGACGTTTGAAGGAATTAAAGTCAACTGCTGATTTAATGGTGATAGGGAGAAAGTTCCAGAGTAGAGGGGCAGAGCAGGCAAAGGATTTCCTTCCAAAAGTTTGCAGTTTGAACCGAGGCACAGAGAGTAGGTTAAGATTCTGAGAACGGAGCTGTCTTTGTGGAGTGTATGGGTAAGAAGTTCTTTGTCGATAGCATTTAAAGGAATACATAATTAACAACAATACATTGTAAAGATGGGCTATGGATCGCCAGCAACTGAAGGCAGATCACTATAATAGACACCGTGGGGACTTACGGTACCTTGCTACCTAAATGGACTGGAACATGAGATCCGACGGCGATTTGAATGGACATGTACACTTTTCAAAACAAATTCTATGTGTATCAATAATAGTCACTGAGACGGCCCTATTTTTTGTTTGTTTTAGCTCAATTGGATTGCATGTTTTTGTACAACCCTTTCCTTTTACGCATTTGCTATAAATAGTTATGTGGTAACATGCTAGTTTTAAATATTGATCTGCGACTAGTTGTTTTACTGTCTTTTCGTGACAGATTTTATATTACATTTGTATATGTCATCTATGTATAGCTTGTTTTACACATAATGCCCATGTGACTATAAACTTACCTCACTCACTCATTCTTTTCTTTTCAAAATTTCGATTAAGATCATTGATGATTAAATGTTCACATTTGTCAATACATTTAAAAGCCCAATTCAATCTCTACCATATACATATATAATTGGCATATTCGTCATGTGCATATTCTTTATTTTCGGAATAATGATCAGCCTTTGGTTATTTGTAACTTGTGTTGTATTTTAGATTTCACTTTCTTTGTAAAGCATAGATTCTAGAGAAAAAAAGATTCACATGATTCACATACAACCTCGAGATACTTACATGTAACATATCCTGGGAGAAATGAAGTTTCATTTGTAACATTCTCGTCCTGGTTTTGTGAGAGTTACATAATAACCTGCTTGATATAAGGAACCCTCATGAGTGACATTCTCCTAATGGTTTGGTGAGAGTTACATAGTAACCTTCTTGCTTGATATAAGAAACTCTCATGAGTGACATTCTTCTAATGGTTTGGTGAGAGTTACAGAGTAACCTGCTTCATATAAGGAACCCTCATGAGTGACATTCTCCTAATGGTTTGGTGAGAGTTACATAGTAACCTGTTTGCTTGATATAAGAAACCCTCATGAGTGACATTCTCCTAATGGTTTGGTGAGAGTTACATAATAACCTGTTTGCTTGATAGAAGAAACACTCATGAGTGACATTCTCCTAATGGGTTGGTGAGAGTTACATTGTAACCTGCTTGTGGGATAGCAGAAACCCTCATGAGTGACATTCTCCTAATGGTTTTTGTGAGAGTTACTTAATAACCTGTTTGCTTGATGGAACAAAAACCCTCATGAGAGACATTGTCCTGATGGTTTGGTTAGAGTTACATAGTAACCTGTTTGCTTGATATAAGGAACCCTCATGAGTGACATTCTCCTAATGGTTTGGTTAGAGTTACATAGTAACCTGTTTGCTTGTTATAAGGACCCCTCATGAGTGACATTCTCCTAATGGTTTGGTTAGAGTTACATAGTAACCTGTTTCTTTGATATAAGGAACCCTCAAGAGTGACATTCTCCTAAAGATTTGGTTAGAGTTACATAGTAACCTGTTTGTTTGATATAAGGAACCCTCATGAGTGACATTCTCCTAATGGTTTGTCGAGAGTTACATAGTAACCTGTTTGTTTGATATAAGGACCCCTCATGAGTGACATTGTCCTAATGGTTTGGTTAGAGTTACATAGTAACCTGTTTGTTTGATATAAGGAACCCTAATGAGTGACATTCTCCTAATGGTTTGGTGAGAGTTACATAGTAACCTGTTTGCTTGATATAAGAAACCCTCATGAGTAACATTCTCCTAATGGTTTGGTTAGAGTTACATAATAACCTGTTTGCTTGATAGAACAAAAATCCTCATGAGAGACATTCTCCCAATGGTTTGGTGAGAGTAACATAATAACTTGTTTGCTTGATAGAACAAAGACCCTCATGAGAGACATTCTCCTAATGGTTTGGTTAGAGTTACATAATAACCTGTTTGTTTGATATAAGGAACCCTCAAGAGTGACATTCTCCTAATGGATTGGTTAGAGTTACATAATAACCTGTTTGCTTGATAGAAGAAACCGTCATGAGTGACATTCTCCTAATGGTTTGGTTAGAGTTATATAGCAACCTGTTTGTTTGATATAAGGAACCCTCATGAGTGACATTCTCCTAATGGTTTGGTGAGAGTTACATAGTAACCTGTTTGTTTGATATAAGGAGCCCTCATGAGTGACATTCTCGTAATGGTTCGGTGAGAGTTACATGATAACCTATTTGCTTGATAGAACAAAACCCTCATGAGTGACATTCTCCTAATGGTTTGGTGAGAGTAACATAATAACCTGTTTGCTCGATAGAAGAAAAACCCTAGTGAGAGACATTCTCCTAATGGTTTGGTGAGATTTACATAGTAACCTGTTTGCTTGATAGAACAAAAACCCTAATGAGAGACATTCTCCTAATGGTTTGGTGAGATTTACATAGTAACCTGTTTCCTTGATAAAACAAAAACCCTAATGAGAGACATTCTCCTAATGGTTTGGTGAGAGTTACATAATAACCTGTTTGCTTGATTGATTCTCGTAATGGTTTGGTGAAGTTAAAACCAGTTTCCTTGATAGAGAAAAAACACTTGAGAGACATTCTCGTAATGGTTTGGTGAGAGTTACATAATAACCTGTTTCTCTTGGTTATAGTAACCTGTCATGAGAGACATTCTCCTAATGGTTTGGTGAGAGTTACATAGTAACCTGTTTGCTTGATAGAAGAAACCCTCATGAGTGACATTCTCCTAATGGTTTGGTGAGAGTTACATAGTAACCTGTTTGTTTGATATAAGGAACCCTCATGAGTGACATTCTCCTAATGGTTTGGTTAGAGTTACATAGTAACCTGTTTGCTTGATAGAACAAAACCCTCATGAGAGACATTCTCTAATGGTTTGGTTAGAGTTACATAGTAACCTGTTTGTTTGATATAAGGAACCCTCATGAGTGACATTCTCCTAATGGTTTGGTTAGAACCTGTTACATATGAGTAACCTGGTTTGGTGAGAGTTACATAGTAACCTGTTTGCTTGAACCCTCATGAGTGACATTCTCCTAATGGTTTGGTTAGAGTTACATAGTAACCTGTTTGTTTGATATAAGGAACCCTCATGAGTGACATTCTCCTAATGGTTTGGTGAGAGTTACATAGTAACCTGTTTGCTTGATATAAGGAACCCTCATGAGTGACATTCTCCTAATGGTTTGGTGAGAGTTACATAATAACCTGTTTGCTTGATAGAAGAAACCCTCATGAGTGACATTCTCCTAATGGTTTGGTGAGAGTTACATAGTAACCTGTTTGCTTGATATAAGAAACCCTCATGAGTGACATTCTCCTAATGGTTTGGTGAGAGTTACATAGTAACCTGTTTGCTTTGATATAAGAAAACCCTCATGAGTGACATTCTCCTAATGGTTTGGTGAGAGTTACATAGTAACCTGTTTGCTTGATATAAGAAAAACCCTCATGAGTGACATTCTCCTAATGGTTTGGTGAGAGTTACATAGTAACCTGTTTGTTTGATAGAACAAAAACCCTCATGAGAGACATTCTCCCAATGGTTTGGTGAGAGTTACATAATAACCTGTTTGCTTGATAGAACAAAAACCCTCATGAGAGACATTCTCCTAATGGTTTGGTGAGAGTTACATAGTAACCTGTTTGTTTGATATAAGGAACCCTCAAGAGTGACATTCTCCTAATGGTTTGGTTAGAGTTACATAATAACCTGTTTGCTTGATATAAGAAACCCTCATGAGTGACATTCTCCTAATGGTTTGGTTAGAGTTACATAGTAACCTGTTTGTTTGATATAAGGAACCCTCATGAGAGACATTCTCCTAATGGTTTGGTTAGAGTTACATAATAACCTGTTTGCTTGATAGAACAAAAACCCTCATGAGAGACATTCTCCTAATGGTTTGGTGAGAGTTACATAGTAACCT